CAGAGGGTACGGTGATGAATAAGCTCATAGAGTACATATTTATGTACTTGGGTGGGTCTAAGCTACATTACTTAAGTCAGGGATAGTGGTACTACTAGCTTATTAAAACCGCAGTACGTTAAGCTGGGTACGAACTTTAAACACTAATGGTTGGAATTCGATTATTTTATTAACCACGAGGCTAACGCACAATTACCAATGAGTAATTCATAACTACGATAAAATCCCTAATCAAGTCTCTTTAATTTTTAGCTATGGATAGGTTCTATAATTTGTCCTATCTTCAAGATGTTTGTTATATTGGACAGATAGAATAAGTAGTTGTTTTTTTATTTTGTTGCTTCCCTTCGTTAATGAAGGATGATAACGTGTCCACATCCTCGCATTCCTATAAACTTATAATCATTATAAACGAGTGTATGAATACAAGAATATCTAAAATTTTAACTGTCCACTCAGTTACTACATCAAAAAACTTTTATCAAGTATATAACTAATTTCATATCGATCACAACAAACAAACATCGTTCGAATAAATATCTAAACAATTCCGGTAGATTTGATTCTTCTATGGACAATAATTTTGTCATGTGACAATCGACCAATACCGAAATTAGATTACGTAGGTCGCGTGAAACTTAATAATTAGATCAATTATCATTCAGAAAAAGTTTGTTTATTCTTAAACCATTATGTTTTAATCTGATAAACAAATTATTCAGAAATCTGAAATACTTGCTGAAATTTTTTAAATGTTAATTCTAGGAAGAGTATTACTTTGGGACACGAAATTGTAGTGAAGCAATTTGAATTGTTGAAGTATTTTTTATAAGAATACAGTATTGAAACTAAGCTGGTTTGAAAATGGAGATGGTGTTTAATTCTGTCACTTTAATAAATACCTTCAGTATGATAAATCATTATGTAGAAGCTAATAATTGAACCTTAGCTATGAACTGCATCTTGATTGAGATCATTCTGTAGAATAAACTTGTAGTATCAGTTTATAGTAAAGAAACATTTAAAACTATCCTTACATAACGTCTAAGTAGAGGCTGTATAATTTACCCATAACACTACGTTCTTCCGATTACTTGACATTTAGTTTCACCAGCTAATTTGAATGTTTGTGTATAAAGTGAGCGAAAATAAGCTACAGAAAAACTACATTTCTGTTTGTTTTTTTCAATAATCGTAGGCATAAAATGAAAAAGCCCATCTTGACGTTAGATGTTTCTTGTTCTACATTAAGGCTTAAAAGAATATATGTGAAATAAACTTTGCTTTGAAAAAACAGTTGATTTAGACTGAGCAAAATAAGCTACGTGAATCAATAATAATTTAAAATAAAAAGTTGGGATATTAACTAAAGACATAGGACTTAAGTTGATTAAGAAAATAAATAAAATGTATGATTTATTTATCTATTTGAACAAATTAATAGTGGTACAAAGAAGCATCAAATACATATGCGCCACACAATAACAATGAGGTTGTAAAGAGATAGAGAAAGTAGTGTGAGTATAGCAAAAAAGAACAATGAATAGAAATCAGTGAATGAGAGTGAAGTAATAATAATAACAATAATAATAATACTAATAATCGTCATTTCATTCTATTTGTGACTGTTCTCTGGGATTGTCTATTGAAGAAGAGTGTGCTTGAGAAGTTCATTAACATCTTAAAGGGTTCTATACACAAACACCTCAGGCTGAGTGAGGGCATATAACCACCTTTCTCCATTGTTCCATTCAAGCAGTGGGGTTACACAGGGTTGCCCGATCTCACCATGCTCTATGCTTGTGAAACCTGGATTCTCCGAGTTGAGGACGTTAGAAGACTCTCTGTGTTCGATCATCGCTGTTCCGAAGGATTGCTGACATCCAGTGGCAACACCATGTCAGTAATGCAGAGGTTCGGCATCGTGTGTTCAGGCAAAGAAACCATCTTGAAACATCGACTTCGGTGGCTTCGACATGTCTACGAATGTCGTCCCAGACAATTCCACGTCGTGCATTATTTGCCGACTCTGGGACTGATTGGAGAAAGCGGAGAGGTGGTCAGTATATGACACGGTGTCGTGGCATGAAAGGAAGCTGCAAAGGACTGGCTTGTGTTGGTCCTTCACGACTCCCTGGTTGGGGTCCTAGAGATGTTGCGACACAGTGGCCAGAGATGTTATCAGATATGGCTCAGAATAGAAGCCAGTGGAGATCCTGCTGTAAGCTTCTATTACTTTCTTCATAAAAAGTGGTTGTATCTTCCTTAACTGAAAGAGTTCTTCTGGTTGTACTTTTTCTTTTCCCCATTATTATTATTACTACACTACCTTGCACTAATCTGTTGTCGTTATTGTCCTTTTTTCTTTTTCTCTCATACGCACCTTACCTTCTTTTTCTCTACACATTCTCATTGTTTTGTGTGGTGCATATATAAATTTGGTGCCCCCTTGTACAAATATTTATATGTTCAAATAAATAATAAATAATAATAATAGGCGGGGCAGTTCAGTTAGCGAAAATATAACCAGAAAGCATTCTTTCAATTAAAGCAGTTGCGTTCATTTTTTATGAAGAAAGTAAGAGTTATAGCAGGATCGCCATTGGCTTCTATTCTAAGCCAATATCTGATAACGTCTTTAACCACTGTGTTGCACCATCTCTAGCACCCCAACGAGGGAGTTGTGAAGAACCAGGAGAAGCCAGTCCTATATAGCTTTCTTTCGTACCATGTCATGCACTGACCACCTCCCCACTTTTTTCAACCAGATCCAGTGTCGGCAAATGAAGCATGACATGTAATTCTCTGGGATGACATTCATAGGATATATCCAAGTCACCGAAGTCAGTGTTTTGAGATGATAACATCAGTTGAGTCATCGTACCCGACTCCGAACACATGTTGCTGAAACTCTGCATTATTAACATGGTGCGGCCACTGGATATCAGCAATCTTTCAAAGAAAACGACGATTAAACACAGAGTCGTCCACCATCCTCGACACGAAGAAGTTATGTTCCACAAGGATATAGCAAAACTGCTCTGAACGATGAGTTGTAGATCCAACCTTTTACAGAATGTCTGTCGAACGCACTTTATATAGAATAGTGGTAAAACTCATCCTTGATCGCATCCGGGTTGAAATCTACCAGAGCGTAGGTAGAGATGGCGAAAAGACATCGTTCCATGGTAGCCAACGGTAGGTTCATACGCCACTTGTTCCATCAAAATCCAGGAGTTCATGTGCACCATTGGTCTGAGATAAAGGTTTTCCAACTCCCTTAGATGGATCTTCCATACCCTTCAACACAGTTGAAGCGCCGGACATTCGCTTCTCATCCTCTCAAGTTCGTGAACGACACCCATGCCGAGAGAAGGCAGTGAGTAGGACTTCAACGGCATTATGTATATATACATGGTCACATTAAAGTATTTCAAGAAGAGCGAATTCTCCCCACCCTCATTCGTACTAGGGTATTTGGGGGTTATTCAGACAAAAGTTATAACACAATGGATCAAACACTCAATTTTGCGTTAATGCCTTAAGTATTTAACATTTATGGAACTTCAAAGACTCAGTTGCTAATAGTTTTCACTCTAATGTCATAAAGTTTTAGAAGAAACTAAAATATTTCGTGAATCGATCACATTAACTAGAATAAGATTTTTGATATAAAAATTTATTCATTGGCTACACTTTTAAAAACTAATCATAACAGATCTGAGATGAAACAATAAATACACCAACCTAAAAATAAAATAACTTAGGCTATGTTGCACGAATTTCGATAATGTTATAACTAAATAGTTAAGGGGTTTCAACCCACAAACCCATAGCTGAAAGTTGAAGGCTTAGATACCTGAATAATTAGTTCCACATAAATTATGTTGATCTCGATCATAAATCACTGTAAGTATTCACTAGTACAAAACTAATGCTTTAATGTTTCCACTAGTGATTGACATTAAATGAACGGTAATGAAAAGGGAATGTATTCCCAAGATAATTAAAGTATCATGTGGTTTAATCACACGCTGTAATTGAAGGAAATACAATAATAAAATGAAGCGCATGTTGATTAAATATAGAGGAAAGAAAACATTTGGTAGCAAAGTAGAAGAAATAAATAATTATTTATTCTTTGCGAATGAAAACAAACTCCAGTTTTATGTCAACAAGTTTAATTTTACTTATTAATCTAAGTAGCCAGATTAACAAAACATTTATCATTAAATTGATTAAAGAGAGATAATTTACTTTAGAGCTTTATGGTGAAAACCACAATTATAATTAAAGTGAACTGGGTAAAGTGAAGAGATAGTTTCTTAATGACAAGTATATGATCTAATATATAAGCATAAGAGGCCAAGTGTTATTTAAATTTATAAGTAGACAACCTATACTAGCTAAGAGGTCAAAACAGATGTAAATAAAATCAAGCCTACAGTTAGATGATTGAAGGCTAGATATGAAAAACAAAAGTTATTGCGCTGACAAGACACGAAAGATTAATAATGCTTAATAAGTCTGTATAATTAGTCGTTGAGATAATTTTTTGGTTCGGCTGAATAAAAAAACAACGAACGCAACAGAAAAGCTCTATAAAGTTTAATAAATAAGCGAAACTAAACATCACATACAGATTCATATGCTAACAATTCTAAATACGACAGGTCAATGAGGGGTAGCTTAGCGGTTATAAAGCACTAGACTTTCAGCCACTAAATCGCAAATTCGAATAACCTTCCATCTACTTCGGTTCGGGCAATCGGATATAATCACTAGTCTTCACACCTAATATGGCTTACAAACAAGTACAAGAATTTGTACATGGCAAATTGGTTAATATAAAAAAACAATAATAAATACTACTTATTTAGAACGAAGGTAGAATAAGTGATATGTCAACAACTTTTTGGTTCAAAGTTATATATCTGAACAACTTTAAACTCTCATCTACACCAATCCCAAATAAAATAAACTATAATTCAAGAACCCACCTGGATGTAGAAAACCATCAGAATCAGGAAGAACATTTGTAGAAAAACGATTACTCTCACTATTACACATTCGTTTCCTTTGACTATAATTACATCGTTTTTTAAAACGTGAATACTTTGAAAGTGAATGTGAGTAATTTTTAAAGACTTGAGAATTTGATAAATATCTATTATATAAAAAGTGATGATCAAGAGAATTTTCTAAATGTTTTTCTGGCATTGGTGAGAACATTTGCGCATATGATTCAGAACATGTCATAACTGATTGTTCTAACCCTGAATCCAAATTTGATGAATGATGATTACAAATATCACTTGAGATTTTTAAATTAGAATAATGAGAACTATCAAGTGTTCCATGTGAACTGAACAAATAACCAGAAACACCACGGATAGGACAGTAATCATTTGGATGAATAGATGATTGTGTCATTCTACCATGTGATGACCAATAATCATCATCCGTCCCTTTATATTCATTATCATCACTGCCATTTTCATCTAAATCAACATCACCATCATCATTTAGTAAAGCTTCTGCTTCGACATCACTTAAACCAAACTCAGAACAACAATCAGATGTGTTTGAAGAAAAATTATTATCTAAATTATCTCTTAAATACCACATATAATCTAAATTATCTTCAGCTTGATCCAACTGAATTTGATTAGCTTGTAGTTTATACAATAAACGATCAAGTGTAACACCTAGTTTGTTTAACTCATCTGTGAGTACAACAGTTTTTTGTGTAAGATCAGTGAATTTTATTGCATCGGAATTACTGCTAAGTAATAAATTATTAGGATTTTTATTAATTCCCGGTGACGATGACGGTGATGAGAATGATATTAATACGTCATCAGGTGCATTCGCAATATATGTACTTTTGTTTAAATCTGATGAAATTTCACTTGATTGACCTTGAAAGAAATTATCAGACTTATTGTTAAGAAGAGAAGATAATGTGTCGAGTTGTCGAAGAATATTGTCGTCCATATCTTCATTGTTCTCATCAATGAGAACATCATCACCGTCATCTTCATCATTGTTATCACCATGAATATGTTTTATAGTCATTTGATTTTTGTTAATGTTTCTCATTACTTCATCTTTAGTTGCATAGATAGAAATAATATCATCGTACTCAAAACCTTCATTATCATCAATATTTAAACATGACAAAGTAGATGAATTTGAACTGGAATGAAAACGTGAACGATGATATATAGGTGGATTGGTAGTAGTCCGAGTAGTATAATCATTTTCCTTCGCTAAATATTTACAAGATTTACTTATTTTTCTATCTAACACAGCATCACTATGTACACGATGAATTAAAGATCGTGATGATGATTTTCCAACTGGTGAGTTGTTTAACCAATCAACTTGTTTAGGATTAAGGATTTCGATAACTTTTGACAATAACTGATCTGTAGATATAGTGGTAATAGGATCTACTATAAAATCTTTATCAGATGATTTAATATTCATAGACGTTTGATCAGTGCTCTCATTTTTCATACTTGGAAATAATACGTTATCAATAGATGTGGAAAGAGATTTTACATTGTTATTTTGTTGATTATCACATAAACTGGTTTTCTTGAAATTTATGTCGAATGAGCTCATTAATTTTGATTGAAGCAAGTAAGTGGATTGATCTGATTTTGAAGAATTGAACTCTATCTTACTATGCTCTAAGAGTGGACAGTTAGAAATCGGGGTCATGTTGACAGTGGATGTTACTAAAGGTGTATGAGCTGTAATAGACTCACTATCTGTAAGAAAATCATGAGAAAATAATTTTACGATAATTTAGACAGATATTATAACTGATAGAATGAATACTAGTAAAAAGGTGGAAAAGTGTGATTCTGTATAAGTGGACCATGGGTTTAAAATGACTAGATCTAGTTCACTTCTACATGTTGTGTAGTCTTAGGTCATTAGACAAAACGTACAATCGATTAACTTGTACATGAAATGGGATGAAGATTTCCGTCAGCATTAAATAAATATACTAATCCAAGTTTAGAACCAGTTAGTATAACAAGATGTTAATAACGAAAGATATCTCAAGACCTAACATAGCTTTTATATATCCCTTGTACCCTCCAGCTACCATGAGATTGGATTATTATTATTATTATTATTATTATATTATTATTATTATTATTAAGCTTTATTCAATATTATACTATTGGTACAATATAGAATTCTCAGCACAAAGTATTTCAACAAGTTTCCGTTTCTTTCTTCTTGGTCGGTCCGCGCGATAAATACTGAGTGATCGCCAGCTAGATGTTAACAGTCCAGTAAATGAATATCTGAATAATGCACATTCTTTCGTTGTATATTGCCAGCAACAATATTCTCTCCTTTTGAGCTTTTTGTAACTTTGACAACGAAAGGTTGTACACTTTTCAGAAACGCAGCAGAATAGGTTGTGCGATTATAGACATAATGATATATTAAAACAAACAAAGATAGATAACTTGTCGAAATATCTAGATGGCAGGAACAGGTAGCCCAGATGCTCAAGCAGCCGCTTTGGATTCATATTGATGACTTAACATATGAACAAAATATTGGTAAAGAACTGCTTGAATTGATCGATAAGCTCACTAGAATATATAGACTAAACACATCACTTGAATGATTTGCAAAACTTTATTATGCAATCTGAAGGCTAGTATTTACATCAGCATTGCTCTTAATTTTTTAAACGGGACAATATAATGATAGCGTTCATTTTATACATGTTTAAGCACAAAAAGCTGTTCATACAAATAAGAGAATACTTTTATGCAGTTTCTAAATCGATGAATGAAGTTAGTCCAGTATTTCAACTTTCAAAATGTAGAAAGTACAACAAATCAGAAGGTATTTAACCAATCCTATGGAAAATGGTCCAAAAATAATCAGTCAGACAAAGAAGTGCTTTAATTGTAGACAAGGTTAACTCAGTTGACACTTCCCACCAACCAATGTCATGGAAAGATAATTCTTTCATCACTGAACATTAAAAAAGTCAGCACGATGACTTCAAAAATGATTAAGATGCAGAAAATATATTGTGTTAGCTGCAAAGATAGTATCGAAACGCTTGAGATAAAGCTTCAACACTCCTCTGAAGAAAAAAGTTATAGAGTATATCAATATGGTATTTAATTCCTTACTTACAAGAGCCTGAAAGCAAGTATACTTCAGTTTTTTTTATCAGCGGTTTGTTTCATTTAACGGTGTCACTGATTGACTATATCACACTGAGGAAAGGAACACCTAAACTTCCGTAAATTTTGTGAAATTGAGTGATGAGTATTAACCTTCACTCACTATCATTATGTTATGTAATAACTTTTACGGTTTGCCATCTGACGTACTAAATCAAAGCGAGTAAAACATATCGCTTCTTACTTTAGATTTAGAAAAATATGAGAACTTATTTAAAACATTACAATTCTAGTTATTAAAGTTCAATTTATATTGATAATTTAATCTAAAAATTAACAGTTCAGCAAGTTAACTGTTATCACTCCCACAGAATCAATTAATTCTTATTTACCTACATATAACTAACAATGGATGACAGTGTTCAAATAATCTAAATAAGGTCAACAGACTCTATGTATTCTTCCCCTTAAAATAGTTGTTTCCATCATGTAAAGAATTAAACACATCAGATGGAATAATTTCATATTATTGAAATCACAAATATACAATGACAAACAGTTCACAGATGATCATTCAGCTATATAAACCAAATTATATAACACTACAAATAAATAAAGTATAATAATCATTTCTAAATGATTGCGTAGACAACTGTCTACGCAAAATACTTCGGATCCGTTGGCCGGACACTATTAGCAACAACCAACTGTGGGAGAGAACAAACCAGATCCCAGTGGATCAGGCCTCTAAGTCAAGAGACTTGGAAATTGCCACCTGAGAAAACTGCCAGCCTCGGTCTGAGTACCCAAGCAGAACCCCAGCCTATTCACAAGTGTGACAACTAATAATTATAGAGAAACCGTTCTATTTGCTCTTCCTTCATACCTGCCCAAGCGATGCTTGCAATCACATTATGATAAATAAGTTTATTTTACTTTAATTTAAGTTGTTCCATTCCGTGTACATCTTCATTTTGCACTTAGCGGCCAGTTTCTGTAGAAAGTTCTGTTCTGCCTAAAAGGTCTTAGATAAAGATCGGACAACAGATAAGTTTAGTTGTCCATGGAAAGTCACAATATTGGTGATGTTAAATACACGTGACGCGCATTCGAGATTTTAATGAAGTATTAAAACTTCATTCTCCATCTGTTGATTTGAAATGCTTGTTTCATGTATGTTTATTTCCGTACAATGTAGTATCTTCGTCCAGCTTGATTTGCGTTGGTGCTGCAGAAAAGGCACTCATTTGTTGAACCCTCAGTAATAATCGTTAGTGTCCAATTAAATTAGAAGGGTCTATTGAAGTGAGAAATATAAAGGCCACTCGAGAGATGCAGCATTAGCCAGAGGTTTGAATGCGTAAGTCTGGCGTCTTTGAAAAGAGGGAAGTCACTTATGTGCCAAAACGGGTTCGATGGTCTCAGATCAGATAGCGGTAATCGTCTTTTGTAACTGTGCAGACCACAATCTGCTCCTGGCCACTATCAAATTCTAATAAACTTATCACCTATATACTAATTGGCCTTCTTCATCTACAACACCAGACTAAATTTCAATTGGTCACATCATGATCAGCTATCACTAATGTGGATATGCACAAGACTGCTTCTCCTTTTGAAACACCTATCTGGACTCTGATAATTACCCATTTCGCCTCAAGCTTATCTTGCATTTGTGGCTAATAGACGCTGTTGTATCCGAAGATTAAACTACTGGTAACTTCCAGAAACTATTTATAGACTGTTATTAGACTATGTATATTTACATTTCGTTTATCGTAAGACTTCATTTGACCCATTGGCTGCCATTATGCGACTTACCATTCTTAATTCATTCCCAATTTATTAGTTACGGTCTCTCATACTCACACGCACACTTTTGGTTTGATCTTGTGCAATTATTATTTTTCATTTTATGGTGTGATGAGGTCTAGTCTGCTTGTATATAAAGTACGTATGTCTGAAATATATTATTAATACAGTGAAAGCTGATTTTGCATTCTGGACTCAACCGGAGGGGCTAGGAGAAAAGCTACTACATTGGGGACCAATAAAGATTCAGAAATGATGCACGGTTGCTGGTGTTGTTTTGATGTATCATTGGTTTAGCATGGGAACAAAGTCATAGAAGTCGATATTCTGATTGGTGACTTTGTCACACGACAATCAACAGGGATACAAGTCATAAAAGACGTCTTGTGCGAAACAAACTGATATAAGCAAATTGGCTGCAGCTTCAGTTACAACCAAATATCAAACTGAGTTAGGTTGAATGCTAGCTACCAGTCCACCGATAAGTAGAAATCAGTATCGGCTGTATTTGCACAACACCATGGAAGTGATTAGTTAAGTGACTTCTGGTTTAGGTAAATGTCCGAATTACAAGCACCGGGTTTACATAAGCTCCCTACAACTCAAAGCATCCCAGTCTACTCCGACGAATCGTCATTTTGAAGATACACGTTGATCAGAATATTTCACATAGCTTCGGTAAGAACTGAAACCCTGGTATTTGGAGAGTGCTCATGAGCTGGAGGAAACAGCTGAATCCCGAGAGCTGTTTCAACTCACCTAAACAGCTGGTATCTAGAAGTATGGTGTCGGTCAAACAGTCCGTGAAGTCGATAACACGCCAATTAGTAACATTTAAAATGGTCTTAGACGATGGACTGAGATTTTCGAACGACAGTTCAGCTAGCCTATAGCCCTAGCAGAGTCAAGTAAATTGTCCTATGCTCCCAAGTCGACGACTACCGATCCACTTAGTCGAGTGGTCTAGCAAGAACTCGAACTTCTGTAGCCTAACAAGTCATCAAACTTGAATGACTGCCTCTCTTTTGAGGATGGTGGCGAATTTCTCGTTAGAAAAGTGACCGAGTTGTTGCGACAGTGTTAGGTCTTTGATCCGTCTACTTGTCTCAATCTAGGTTAAGGCCTTGACACGATGAGCTAACCGGTTTAACCTCGATGCTAGAAATGCGTGAGTCCGAATTGAGACTAAAGGCTTTGGGTAAAGAGATGAAAACTATTCTACCACCTGATTGGTTGACAAGCGAGCGACCGGAACACCACTCAATTTATTCACTATTCCCGATTCTGATTACTGTAGAAGGATACACGAATAAATAGATGACTAGCATAACCACAATGCATAAACAATTAGAAAAATACAATTATGTCCAAACTGGGGATTGGGGTAGAAAAATGGAGTACGTTCCAGAGCATTTGCACGGAAAGAAAAGGAAAAGAGCTGTTTTTTACATCTTGGAGAACATAGAACAGCAATAAAGACCAAACGTTTAGCATGCTTTTAAAAGGGTGATTACCTGTTATCTGCTTGATAGTGAACAGGAATATTGATACGTCAAAATCTTTCAAAATAATCCATACTCAAACAACCTGAATGTCATTAAATATGGCCCAAATGCCTTGGTACGGCCGAGAGTGGGGAGAGTCCGCTCTCCCTCTCGAAATACTCTCACAGCCGCGCGCATACAGCCTCTGTCGGGGAAGTCCTACTCATTGCCTTCTCGTGGCGGGGGTGTTGTTTACGAAAATGAGAGAAGGAAAAGCGAATGTCCGGCCCTTTAACCAGATCACAAACC